CAAGATCAGGTGATTTTTATTTGCATGGTCATTTGCATTTTTCCCCATAATTGTTCAGTACAGTGGCAGTAAAAGCAAGCCCCAATATATTTTGCCTGGAAAATCGGTAATAAACCCTGGCTCCAAGCTGGCCGGTGAGGGCCTGATCATTTTTTTTTCATGAGAACAGGTGAAGCATAATGTACATTTTTACTAAAAAAGAACAAAACTGGCACATGTAGAGCAGGAAGGATCTGAATGATCTCAGTAAGGCGGGATAGAGCAGTGAGGAAAAGTGCTGAATGGATTGTGGAGCTGCACCATTTAGAGTGTATAGAGTCTAGGAGCCCACTGAGTCCACTCCTTCAGGTCTAGTGTGTAATTGTAGTTGCCATCACTTTATTCCATTTTGTTTTAAAGGTCCTAAGGAACCAGATTTACAAGGGCTTTGAGAAGCCTAGTAGGATTTACAAAAGCAGGCAGCAAAGACCCATTGAAATCCATGAGATTTTGGTGCCTAACTCACTTATGTGCTTGTGTAAATTACACTAGGAACCAGCTGCACCTGTAAGTACCTAAGTGCCTTTGTAAATCTAGCCCAAGGGCTTCCATTGCTCAATACCTATCCCTGGGGCCAAATCTGGGAGTTTCTAACTTGTTTTGACTCTTTTTTTTTTTTCCTCCTGCACATTTTCCCCAGAGCCTGAAGTGTGACATGAAGCATGGTGGGTAAAAGCTTTTACATGATATTCAGAAGTTAAAAGGGAATAAAAAAACAGGGCTAAAAATGAGCCAGGCCTTTGATCCACGCGTGGGAATATGAAATCCAGTATGTAATTCCTCCTAAGCAGCACACAACATATGTCTCCGTGTAGTGACATGGGAGCTAACTGACTGAGCTAGTTTGAGTGCAACAAGCAGTATGGCCACAGTAGCGAGGCACTTCTGCCCAGCTAATCTACTCTGTGTTGTGCTGTGCAGGCACACCCGAAGTTACAGGGTCTACCCTGCAAATCCTTTGTGCATGAAACTTCCACTCAAGTCTGTGGGACTTTCCTAAGTAGAGCTCAGAATTTGGCTCACAAGTCTAATCTGAAAAGGGTCGATGGAAATCAATGGGATGTCTGGATTTATTTGCACCCATGTACTTAAGATCCAAATACGGCCCAGTATCTCCACTGCCAATAAGGGACTGTGCTGAGTTCAACAATCTTTGATGCACTACCGAACGTTACAAAAGGAAGTCACCTTCCCCCACCCCACATTACAGAGAAAACAGGAACTGGGAGCCCACAGCATAGTTAATTAACAACTGCACTGGATTGCATTTGTGATTTGCACGACCAACTTTGAGGAAAGCTGGGGGCACAGATTGTGAGAGAAAAATACTATCTGTTTTTGAAACAGAGATTATCAGAAGCAAGCGGTCAACTGTTCCTAATATCTACCAGCGATATGTATGGAAACCAGCACTACCAACCCCGCCTCCAACAGACAACACCTTGTCCTAAGGCACCAGTGCAGTGGCCAGCACATTTTTATTCAACCTTTAGTTAAGAATCCAGCTCTTTAGAGAGCCTGTTGCCTTGTCTGATTATCGTCTAAGGGTACCCACAAGATACACTGACCAATTAGGGATGACTGTCCCAAATGCAACTGCTTCTGGCTGCTTCAACAGAATATACATTCAGCATCAGATCAGTTCTAGAGTGCATGTTAACACCACAGGAAAACCAGGCAGAGGAAGCATGTGCAGTAGGTAAGTGGCTAATTTAACAGTTTCAGTATGGAAGGAATTTAATGTCCTGGGTGTTCAGAAGTGCCTAGTGATTGGGGAATTCTGGATTGGGTGCTGAATTTGAAACGTTCTAAAGGGGGCACCTAAAGGGGTGGCCAGTCAGCACTTTCGGAAAACCAGGCTTCTTTAAAGCGATCAGGACTCGAGGTGGAGGCAATATCTTTTATTAGACTAACTAGATTTTTGCAAAAAAAATTTTTTTGCAAAGAGCTAGTTGGTCTAATAAAAGATATCCCCTCTACTATGAGTCCTGATTGCTTTTGCCTCTAGACCAGTATGGCTACAGCCTGCATACCTGAGGCCTCTTTAATGCACCTTAGAAGTGAACAACCTGCAGTTGCCATTCACCTGTGAAAACATATCCTAGTGCTCACAACAATACCTTTAGTTACATAATACTTGCCATCCCCAGTTGGGTGGCCAGTAGCAGCTTTAGGAAACATCTCACCAAAACTAGGGGAGGGCAGCAGGTTGCACTGCTTATCGTTGTTAAGCTGAGAGTTGTGCAAGGAGTTTGACACGCATGTTATTTTCAGGCGTTTCTGGTTTCTGGGTCATAATTCTATTAAATCTGACATCCTACAGCTCAAGCACCCACAGAATGAATGATAGGGTATAGGTGCTGTGCCTATCCCAAGAATGCCATTACGGAGAGAGACCTAATGGTCTCAGTAGGCAGGGACCCGATCCTGCAAACTTTCAGTAAAGTGCTTCCATTAACTTCTTTGGGATTACTCAGAACAGTAGGTGCTGCCTTTGGTAGCAGGTGTTCTCAGGACTGTACCATATGGTATCAAGTCCTAAATTTGGAACATACATTACCTCCTGAAGCTGACTTCATCCTTTTCTAACTCCTGAAATTCAGATGCTCTCTGTTCAAATTTGGAAGGCAGGGCAGAATGGCACCTTATATGCTAATTCAGACATGACTCTCAAGATGAAGGAAACTTCCCCCCACAACACACACGTTACATTTAGAGGATATTCCAAAACATTTTACAAGAATAAAGAATGATCTATCTTACAGAAGATTCTGCTTTTGAAGGAAAACTCCCCACTTGTCTTCCATTTCTTAAGAGTACAAATCAGATAAGTTTTACTGGCTCCATTTAAAAAGAATTCAATCTTTTTTGCACCCAAAATGATCATCCAGTCACTAGTCCTGCCTAACAAAACTCTACTCACTCACAACAGCTATCATTTGTATTTGATTTTTTCCACCGGAGAAGTGAAACCATTAGTTTCCCATCCCCATGGAACACTTGGGCCAATGGATTTTGTGTGAAGGGCAATACGCTTCCATTATGATTTTCCCCATCAGGTGGATGGAAAGCTTTGCCTATCTTGATTAAATACAATTTTTAAAACAAAGTCCTTTAAAAGCGAGTTGGGGATTGGTTATTAGCATCCACTGGAGTCAGTGAAAAGACTCCCGTTTATTTCCGTGGATGTTGGATCAGGCTTCAAAGGATAAATAGCCCGACATGGTACCACATGTTAAATCTTCTAGTCCTTTAATATATAAGCTCATGTGTCAGCTCACTGTGTGAGTTTATTGGTTGTCACTTTCCTGTCTAGTGTATTGAACAGTCCTGGCTATAAGTCAGGGGTGAACTCAAACTCAGTCTGCTTGTTAATAGTCATGTCACAGCAATCTGAACATTTGGGAGGGTGTTAAATAAATTGGTAGATCAGAAGCAAAAATGCTGAATAGTATAGGCTGAAACCTCAGCTGGTGTAAACTGGCAGAGCTCCACTGATGTTAATAAAGCTGTACCAGTTAACTTAAACTGAAGATCTGGCTCCATAAACACCTGTTAATCTGACCTCTATGCCTAGGTACAAAGAGGCACGTCTGGAAACGAGTTCTGTTGCAGGGTGCTGGTTGCAACCTGTGTGTTTGAAGACATGGTAATATCTTTTCTGTACTTGTCAACTGTTACCTTTTTTTTTTTCTCTCCAACTGGCGGGGTGAGTGCGTGTGTGTGGAATGAATATGCAGCATATAGATTTAAGAAATGTTTCTTCTGTTTTACCTAAGCACCTTATTATCAAAAAATCCCCAGCCCAAGTCACTGCCTTGTGTAATGGAATATATCATATATTTGCAAGCATGAAAAAAAAGTAAAGTAAAAGCTTTCAAAAGCTCATCAAAGGAAGGAAATAAACAATGCCATTAAAAGTGTATTTTAAAGAAAAAAAAATCACCTGTTTGGGGGACTGGGTTTGCAGGATTCGAGCTCAGTCTTGAAATCTCCCCAGACAAACTGCCAGCAAGATGTTGCCTTCTCTGTGTGGCTTTCTTCCACTTTCTCACTTGGTTGCTGTCTGCTGAAATAGATACTTCTCCTTTTTTTTCTTTCTCTGTTTTTTGCCCCTGTTCCCCTCCCTGATTTTTCAATCAGATTATTTGTGTCAAAATCTGGTGGTGAAGAAACAACCAATGGAGAAGCAGAGCCCAGACAGTATTTGCTTATCAAAACTTTCCAGGACTTTGAAAACTTGAAGTGAATTCACATTGCCCAGCTCTGAAGTTCAGGAGTAGCTTACTGAACTCATTGGGGCAATGGGACTTTCTACTGGAATATTCTTTTGTCCCATGGGCAGAAAGCATGACAAAGGGAAATAAGGTACCAACAGGAATTTGCAAACCAGGAATGGCTCTTAAGGAACATGTATTCTTATACACAAACTCATCCTTACATCTTCCACGTACAGACCCACCATCCCTCTCGCACACACACGTTAGCATCATAAAACCGTCTGACAAACTAATACACGCAAGATTATTTTTGTTTCAAAATATATCTTCATCTCTAATTTCTATGGAAAAAAAGAATTAGATAGTGATACCCACACATTAGCAACTGAAAAACCGTCATTCATTTTCCTAAATTTAGGAATGTATGCCACATGTACATTGCACCTTTGGTGCGTGAACACGCAGCTGTGTATATCAATGGATGCACATACATCTGCAATTTTGCATGGTTGCATATAGACATATGTTATTATTTGGGTATATAACGTATTAATATATCATTTGGATAATGCATGCTTATTAATAAACCTCTCTCCGATATGCTTTTCAGCTAGTGAGTCACGATAAGAATTTTAATGTTTGTAACTTCCTTTCTCCCAAGGATCAGAAAGCACTTTACAAATATGAGATAACTGACCCTCATAATGCCCTTGTGAAACAATTAGTTAATGGAGTAATTGAAGCAGCAGTAAAGTGAGGTGCCCAAAGTCATGTGGTGATCCTGTAGCAGAGATGGGGACAGAATCAGCAAGTTCTGAATACTGGTGACTTGCAAGAGGTACTAGTATGCTCTCGTGTTTTTGAATAAAAATTAGTTTATCCTCCTCAAAGCTTGCCAGTATAGCTATATAATGCCTTCTACCCATGGTGTCTGTTTTTCCCTATCCTTCTCCCTCACACACATGTGCATTATGGCATGTGCTAAGTATGTCATCATTTATTATTAGCTGTTCTCTGACAATGTGCTCAGCGCTGCACTGAAAAGTTGAACCAGTCAGTCCTTTTATTGCCTTGTAAAGGCCAATTCTTGCAGGCTGTTTTGTTCATAGTGCCATCTATTGGCACAATTTAGAATCACAATGCATGGCCACGTGCCATTGCACCTTGAGCTTGCAGACGGACTCCTCACTTTCCCCGGCATGAAGCAGGGGCTCTTGCTCTGGGATTTTGATCTGAATGTAGGCTCCAAATTTCTGAGGTTTCTGATCCTTGCCCATCTCTCTCATTTCCCTGCATAATTAATTCTTATTGTTTATAGAAGCAGCGTCGCTTCCTCCTCCTCCCTGCTACCCTCCCTCCCACATTTATTTATTTAGCAGAGTTTTGCATGAAAGAAACTGTTCACAAAGCATTGTGCTAGCAAGTTGATTTGCATCCTCTTAAACACAGGCATTTGAAGGATTACATCTCCCACTACAAAAACAAGCATTGTAATGGAAAACGAAGATGTGCGCTGGAACTTCAGGGTTTCATATGTAGAGCATTACAGGCATTAAATGAAAAGGAAAAATGACAAGCTGACGAAAGGGCTGATGTGTTATTGCATGAAGCACTTTGGAGCCAGCTTCTGAAGCAGCTTTATGCACAAACCTCTCCATGATTTAGAGTGGACGTGGCTACAGCATCTGATTCTTGCTGGGGAAAACAGACTACCCATTCAGGCTGGCTCTGGGGGTTTGCTGCTTGCTGGGTAAAGTAGCTGCAGAAGGGACCCAGGAATACGCTCAATAAAACCTTGCCTTTGGTTCTTTGTCCTGATTATACTCTCTGTACTGTTCTCACTGAAGCGTGGGAGAGCTTGCCTGTTCTTTCTGGAGAAGAAGGGGAGGGCCAGTGGCCCATGAGTGGTGCCAGCTTATGTCCAAATTAGAGCAGTCTGCTAGTAAAGAGTGGTCTTAACCCAGATGGTAGTCCATGCCCAATGACGGGCCAGCCAACTTGAACTGAAAGCAACACTGCACTCAGCTTAAAAGTTTTGGTTGTGGACAAATCATAACCAGGTATACTTTGCAGTGAATATAAACCCTGCAGTTGACAGCGCTCCCAGAGACTTGCCAGGGATCCACACCCTAGATGAACTTCAAGATACATTACCTTTCTTCTTTGATCTCTGCAGAGCCATAGAAGCTGAAAGGTATATGCCTCTATTCCTGTCTTTGGCTGACTCACATGCCATCTCATCGGTTTTCCCTTGCAAGTTCCAGGACCAGAAGAAAAATTCTCTGTAGGGCCCTGGAAGAAGGAAGAAAGGCTAGCATGGATGACTGAATTGGAACTGTATGGGCTTGTGCCAGTTTCTGGTACACTGAAAACATGGCTAGTATTGCTTTTCTTGAGGACAGCTTAATTCTATGTATGGTGTATTCTGAGGGCACAGCCTCAGACTGAAGAAGGCTATGCATTAATCCAGGGATGTATATGGTAGCCATGTTGGTCTGAGATGAAAAGAAATGCAAAGATCTAGAACTCTTGGTTCCAAAACGATACCTTTTATTAGACCAACTGAGAAATTGCAAAAAAATTGCAGAAAAAGATATTTTTTTGCAGTTTCTCAGTTGGTCTAATAAAAGGTATCGTTTTGGAACCAAGAGTTCTAGATTTTTGCATGCACTAATCCAGGCATGCATGTATCTCACTTCAATGTATACAGTGCTCCCTGACTACAGGAAGAGCCTGTGCTGAGCTTTACACACCTCATTTCAGAGAGGTCTTACACCTGTAATTGTAGCCTTGGAATTGACAGGACCTTTCTCATAGCAGATTGTCAGGTCTGGGCTTCTTTAGGAGCCTGGAAATTGGTGGCTTGTAGTTTCAGCAATTTTGCAGTTAAATTGAGTACAGTCAGGTAACAAGGCAGACAGTGGGGTCAGAAGCTGCTATGCACTTAAACAGTTTATGCACTTACCCAGTATGCACATAATTGATGTTCCTTATAGTATGAGCAAATGGCAACAAAAAGGGACTTGCCTTGTGTTACTCAGCTAAGCAACTTCAGTACTCCCCTGATATGTGTTTAAAGGAAGTACACTATAATGCGGTCTGTTCTAAATACATGTCATGTGAATCACAGCCGACACAGTGGATAAGGCATTTAAGTTCAGTATGCATCTAAATAAGAATGCACAATCACCACGGTTACTGAAGGAGTCTTTGCTTCAGTATCCAGCAGCAAGAAGCACATGCAACCCCCTACTAGTGCCTGTGTGTTTCCTTTGTCAACTGTAATGTTATGTTAATTAAGTCAAAGTGGAATAACACTGCTAATTGCTTCCAGTTCTTTTCTGAAGCTCATCCTAATTTGAGTTATTTTCCTAGGCAGATTAAATAAACACATCTCCTGCAAGGGGGGCGGGGGGCGGGAAACGCAGCATCCAGCTCAAAATGAAATACAAAATTATGGGAATGCACAAAGCTGACCTAAATTAGCTCACCCCCCCAGGGAGGGTCACCTATCACAGGTACAAGAGAAACTAGCTCATGCCCACAGGAAAAATGATCAGATCTGTGAAACATATCACTTAGTACTGCAGTAGTTAGCCCACAGATAGGGTACTGGTGGTACTGTTCTAATCAAACCTGTTGTGATCGAGCCTAGGCTTTACGCTACAGTCCTTGAGAACAGATTCCCATTAGCTTCTAGGGGAATAGTCACATGAGCTGAAGAATCAGGTCAAGGATTCACAAAGTATATCCTGTGGATCACCAGAAGTCCACAGAATTTTTCCTGCTAGTCCACAGAAAGAAAGATGTTCAGACCCAAGCTATGAGGAGATTGTAGTTTGAGGGTTCTGAATGGCCTACAAAATGTATAGTATTAGATAATCCCATCCTTCCTCCCCAAACTCGGCACCCTTTCTCCAGAATGAAGGGAATAATGTTGTGCGTCTGAGAACAGCTGCTGCTTTCAGCAAGAGATTAAGTGATCCCTTTGTATATTAGCTCATAAAGCACTCTGGGATCCATCCCTATATAAAAAGACCATAAAATATAAGCAGTGGCATGAACGCTGCTAGCATTTGAAGGGAAAAAAACATTAATTTTGAGCGTATCAGACCACTGTTTCTCTGCAAGGGCTCTACTGCTATATTAGATACACCTAGCTATACTGTCCTTCAAATGTTATTTCAAATAAACATGAATCAGCCACCTCTGGGTCTTATTTTCATGTTGTTTTGTGTAACGGTGGGGGTGGAAATATTTTTTTTTCAAATGAAGGTTAGGCTCCAGCTCCATCACATGACTCTGGGACCCACGGTGGCAGGCAGGTGCTGATTGTGCCTTTGCTTTAAGCTGGTCTGCCCAAAGACATATCCCTCCTGGCCCAGGCCCACCCTGGTGTCGAGGGCAGTGGGGCGATGCCAGTGTGCAATGTGCAACCAGCCGGCGTTGTAGGAAGGCTTGTTTTCAGGTGTGCAGTACTAAGTGTTTCCCACGAGGTGGGGCTGCAATACATTCCTTGGCACTGTGTTAAAAATACACTGGCAACCACAGCAATCAATAACCTAAAACCACTGACTTTTTTTGGTACCTAGATGAGTGTGCATTTGTTTACCACTGCGGTAGCCGTGGACATACACTCCCCCCGGTTTGTTTTCTCACAGCTCACTCCTACTTTCACAAGTGATACAAGGAAAGTGATTTTAGTTCTTTGTGGGTTCAAAGACTTCTTCTGTTGCACTTTAAAATTTGAATCGACAATCTGACTGACACGTGCAAGCGTGGCCCATCTCATATATCAGAAATGCTGGGTTAAAGGCGCAGAACACCACAGGAACCAACTTGCCAAAAAAACCCCCAAACCCCCTGAGGCCTCTGGAAATGGAATTCCACATGGCCCAGAGAAAGCAGTGGGAAGGCAAAGATGGCGCTTCCTTATATCTCTGTTTTAGGCTGTTCATGGAAGAACATTAGCAAATGAAAACTGTGCAGGCAAGTTGCAAAACATGTCACAGGTGTGTTGTCCTTTTGATCCTGACTTCATCAAGGCCGCGTTGCCAAATCTGAGCTTTCGAAAACTGTCTGCTTCCTTCTCTGGACTCATGATGCTGGATTAAAATGACAAGGTGATCAAAATGACATGAATGTGGAGAGTCTTTTGGTTTATCGCATGCTTTCTGAGCCTCGCTGCATGCTTTCCTGCAACCATGGGAACTAAAAATGCCCATTTTCTTTAAAGTGATGCAGGGCCAAATTAACCCTTTAGCAGGAGAGGCAAGGATTTCTTAGGGTGATTGCATTTACTGGACCAATGATGTCGCTGGGATGTTAGACATTCCCCAAGAACATCAGACATTCTTCAGGAATGTCTTACATCCAAAACCTCGTCTCGCTTTATCCCAGTGACACTGTTAGTTCAAGAAAAGCAATCACCCTACGAAATCCTTCCCTCTTGCATGGTTTTTACAGAGAGTTGCAATCTCTGGCAATCCGTTGCTTCCACAAGCACACTGAACCTGCGAGAACTGACCACACCATAACTGGGAAACAAGTCCTGGCTGAAGAGGTCGGGAGGCAGCCTACATGGGCCGAACTTCTATGCAGCATCATGCCCCTGATGGGTGAGATGTCATTGATGACTCATGATGAGTGTGATGCTATTGACAGGTGTGATGTCTTTGATGGGTGTGATGCCATCGACAGGTGTGATGCCACTGATGGGTGCGATGTCATAGACAAGTGTGATGCCACTGACGGTGCAATGTCATTGACGAGTGTGATGCTACTGACAGGTGTGATGTCATTGATGGGTGTGATGCCACTGACGTGTGATGCCATTGATGGGTATAATGACATTGATGAGTGTAATGCCACTGACTGATGTGATGCCATGGAGGGGTGTGATGTTATTGACAGGTGTGATGCCCCTGGCAGGTGTGATGTCATTGATGGGTATGATGCCATTGAGGGGTGTGATGTCATTGATGAGTGTGATGCCCCTGGCAGGTGTGGTGTCATTGACCGAGTGTGATGCTATTGATGGGTGTGATGTCATTGACGGTGTGATGCCATTGACCGAGCGTGATGCCATTGATGGGTGTGATGTCATTGATGGTGTGATGCCATTGAGGTGCGTGATGCCACTGGCAGGTGTGATGTCATTGACGTGTGCAATGCCACTGACGGGTGCGATGTCATTGATGGTGTAATGCCATTGAGGGGTGTGATACCACTGACGGGTGTGATGTCACTGACGGTGTGATGCCATTGATGGGTGTGATGCCATTGAGCAGTGTGATGCACTGGCAGGTGTGATGTCACTGACGTGTGCGATGCCACTGAGGGGCGTGCTGCCACTGCAAGCCTGGGGACCATCCCCGGGCCCGCCACACGACACCACGGTGGCTTTGACCCCCGGGGGCCCCAGGGCAAGCGGCCCCGCGCCCCACTGCGAGGCCAGGGGCGGGGCCAGGCCCGGGGGAGGCCCCGCCCCCGCAGCCCGCGGGCCTTGTTTACCACTGCTCTGTGCGCCCCGCCCCCTCCCGCAGCCCGCGGTCACGTGACCCCGGCCGGGCCTCCTTGCGGCCGCCTCCGGCATCACGAGACCTTCTCGGTACCGCTCCCTCTCCGCGGATACCTCCGCGCTCCCTTCCTCTCCCTCCGAAACCGGCGGGCCCCGCGAGGCCCGG